TGGTTATTTTAACTTTTTTTTTTGTTGGAAGTCAATTTCGATAAATCTATTGGAGAGCTTATCTAGTTGGAAATTCTGAGTTTATGATTATTAGGAAAAAGTTTATATAAAGTTGCAAGCTTAAAATGTAGAATTGCATATGCATCTCAAAAATCCATTGGAAAATGTTGTTTTAATGTTGAAAAAACTTCTAATTGGTCATCTCGACATTCAGATGTATGAATATGGCAAAAAAAAAAAAGAAAAGAAATTTGAATCTCAAAAATAGTACTTCTTGCAATACATTATCTAAACCGTCTATTTTCAAGATTTTCATATGTTTATAGATTTACTAGATTTCAACTATTTTTTTAATATAAGCTTTTATAATGAGGTATGAAAATAGATTTTGAGATAATCCCAATAATCATTTTCACCAAAATTACATGTTAGGATACAATTTGGAAGTGCGCCTTAATTGGATCATTTAAGGTTGCAACCTTATAGAAACCACACCCTTATTGTTGTTGTTGTTGTTTTTGGTGTTATGACCATCATTATCATCATTATTGAGTATGGATACCCCTTAGTCTAGCTGACAAATCCCTTAAATGACCTTTCGGATTTTTTTCCCCAAACATCTGACAACATATTTATTTATTAGGTAATTTGTAGAAAAATCCTCTAGTCCCACTTTTTGAAAACGTATAATGTATTTTAATTTTATCGTTTTTATACCTTATATTAAACTCAAATTGATATGTCATGATTCTTGACATCGCCCACTTATAAAAAATACTAACAATTACTATAATATAAATAAAATTATCATAATAGCTTTGAGCATTTTATGGTTATCATTGTCATTTATTATATTAAAATTATTTTTGATATTTTTATAGGTGTGTAATGGTGAGAAGTATAGAATAATATATTTAAATTAATGTAATATATATAAAAGTAATAAGATAAAAATACAGTTTATATTTTAAATCAGTGAGAGACAGGGATAAAAAGCTATGAAGTTTACATGACTATTTTTAAAGGGAGTGCGTTTTACAAGACCATTTATCTTTGTCACAAGAAGGTTACAGTTGCTCCTAATCATTAGATGTCGGATTGCATGGTATAAGATGTGTTATGAACTTCAAGAAATTTCTTGTTGAACTTTGAGTTGTTAATGACACTCTCATAACCACCCAATTTGAAAGCTTATGGATAAAAATATTGTAATCTTCTGGTATTAAAAATAAATTGTCTCTTTATATACTCTTCTATTTTTTAAATACCAAAAATAAATAAAACCTTTTCGTTATTTACTCTAATTTATCTCACACTAAGAAATTTTGCATTTTCTTGGAAAAGCAATGCCGTGACTTTAAGTCTCATTTGAAAGGAAAAGCTACGTTGTGGTTGATTTCGGTTTATGGGGGGAGTTTGGGAAAGTAAAATAAAATAATATAAGGGTGGCAATAGGGGTGAGTTTCAACCTATCCGGTCCACGTCATGGACCCGGCAAATTGGATCTGTATTCAAATGACGCCGACCTGACCTGAATCGGGTCGATGTTCAACACGGTGTAAAATATATCAGATACATAAAAATATATATTACACATTTTATGAAGGAATTTTATACTTTTGAACCTGTTGACTAGGATCCTGGTCAGGACCGGTCCACATGATTTGGATTCGACATGGAACCTTGTTCAGGTCCATATGAAACTTAAGTCCGGTAGGGATCGACCCGTGACCCAACCCGGATCCATCACCATCCCTCAAAAGTTGCAGCGTTTGCAATTGATAGAAATGAGTTTGGAGGACGTATCTCTCTCTCTTGAAATGATTTGGTCGGGCCATGGACATCAACCCTCTGTCTCTCCCTTTCCCTCTCGACGTTTATCTCTCTCTAAGAACTAACTCACAGAATCAGTCATTTCGTTGGCCCTCTCTCTCTCCTCATCTCTCTCTCTCACCTAACCGACAGCTTTCATAGACCTCCTCTTACACGCAACTGTAGATGTCTTAAATTGAATTTTGATAAGAGCATAGAGTCCAGGAAGTGCATGAATCGGAGGTGTGATAAGAAATTCGGATGGACGAGCGAACCCCATGACGATTTTTTATAATATGGGCAGAGACTGTGGATTTATGCAGAGAAATGGAGGCTTCTTTTAATCATGTTTATATATTTGCAAATGAAGCTTCAAACTCGTCAGCAAAGAGGGAGATTTTTTCAAGTGATGGGGTAGTGGTGGTAGTACCATGCCGCAGCTAAAGTTTAAACTTCCATTGTCACCCAACGTATTAAAAAAAACCACTAATGATTTATAAAAATGTACGGTTTGTATGGAGCCTAGGCTCTAAACCATCAAATTAGAGCTTACCTTCAATTAGTATTGAGAATTATGATTTTAATATTAGAAATCTTTTTGGTAGCCTTAAAATATATTTATATCTTTATTTATATAGTTTAAAGCTTCAAAAATAGTGTAGATTGATAAATCTATAAAAATTTGAAAATCTTGAAAATTGACAGTAAAAAAATACGTTACAAAATACACTATTTTCAAAACGTAGAATTTATTTTTTTCTCATGTCAATAATCTTGATGTCGAGATGATCAGTTTGAGGATATTTGGGCATCAATACAACCTCTTCTAATGAAATTTTTGAGGTGAACTCGAATTTGATTGTTTAAAGCCACGGCTCTATACAATCTTTTCTTTTTATAAAATGGATAGGGGCTTGTCAGCTATAATGAAGTACCAAAAAAAAAAAAAAACAGAGACCAAAAGTAGGTTGAATACGAGAGAGGGAAACCGAAATAAAAATAGGAATGTGTAGAAAACAAAAAATGATAGTGCAAAAACATAAAGAAAACGAGACAGAAATAGAAATATGTAGAGACTGAGAAACGAGGAAAAAAGCCAAGGGGAAGTAGCGAAGCACTCGTAATGATGTGATTAGTATATAAGCATTTAGTGAAGTAAACGTCATATCACTAGAGAGAGAGTGCCTGAAGCAAAAGGTTATATTACGTGAGACTTTTAGATAGAGAGAGTAAGGTTATATTACTTGAGACTTTTAGATAGGGAGAGACAGGAGAGTAAATTGTACTTAACACGGAATATCATAAAGGACACGGTGACGTAGAACTGAGTCGGCCTTTAAATTTGTTTTTAGATGGACCACCTATATGCATGCAGTTTTATAATTTCGATCTCCATATTGTTGAAATTAAACAATTTTGTTCTTATAAATCTATCTATTTTATTCCTTTTATGTATATCCACTAGAAACAAATTTTCTGTTGTAAATCCACCTTTACTTTTTGGGCATTTTCCCTTCAATAATTTTGATACTCGGGCAATATTTTTTCTTACAACCAATTTCCAGTAAAAAAATGAATTGTTTTTATCAACATACCTTGAACTTTAACGCGTGTTTCAAAATGTCACGTCCAACATGTGTCGGCCCGACGAGCAAATGTATCAAACCAACTTGCGCGGGTCTGCTAGACGTAACTTGAGTATAACGCCAATCCGATACAAAAAAAATTATTGGATCAATTCTATATTCAAAGTGTGGAGAGAGAAAGAGAGGGCAAAGAAACGCTTGCAAGCAAACAAATCTGCAGGCTTTCCCTTTCAGCCATCGAACCTTTCTTCCTATAATTAAGGAGCTGATATTCATACCGGCTCACCCACCGCTACACTCATTCTTGTATTCATTCATATAAATATATACTACCTTTCTTAGTCACCCCAATTCAAAATTGCAATTATTTTTCATGCCTTAACACTCTCAATTCTGACATAAAAAAACCTCCTGAAACTGGGGGGAGGTAATTGCACATAGCTTTGGATCTCTTTCTCTCTCTAAGACTCTGAAAAGCAGTTCCATGGCTATTGCAAACCCTGCTGTTTCTCTCTCTTCTTTAACCAGGAAACCCATCTTCAAGCAGGGTTCCATAACCCCTTATTCGTCGAGCCTGTTGGGCCGGAATCCCCTTCTTTTCGGAAACCAAATCCTTCTCTCTAAGAAATCCAGAAGTAAAATATCCATTTTCCCTGTATGCTCTCTCTCTCTCCCTCTCTCTCGCTTTTATGTGGGTGCGTGTGAAAGACAGAGACATTAAGAGGATTGGTGTTGTATGGACTTTGGATAGCTCTTGTTCTATTATATGCCTGGTTTATATGTAAAAAGAGAGAGGTTGGTTAAGAGGTTTGGTGTTTGTTTTTTTAACTTTAACCATGATTAAGAAGTTTGGTGTTACATGGATTTGTTAGGTTGCAAGGATCTTTGGACCTGCTATATTTGAGGCATCAAAGCTGAAGGTGCTCTTCTTGGGAGTGGAGGAAGACAAGCATCCTGCAAAACTCCCAAGAACTTACACTCTCACCCATAGCGACATCACCGCGAAGCTCACCCTTGCCATCTCCCAAACCATCAACAGAGCTCAGGCATAAAACATTCTTAAATCAATTTCTCTCTCTCTATCTCTCTTTTTCTAAGGTTAACTTCTTGAAGGAGAGGAAGGAGTTTCTTGTTTCTTGGTTTTTTGGGTTTGATCTGTGGTTTTTGCTGTTTATTTTTTATTGCAGTTGCAGGGATGGTATAACAGATTACAGAGGGATGAGGTGGTAGCAGAGTGGAAGAAGGTGAAGGGGAAGATGTCACTGCATGTTCACTGTCACATAAGTGGTGGTCATTTCTTGCTTGACCTCATCGCCAAACTCAGATACTACATCTTCTGCAAGGAACTACCTGTGGTACTTCTCTCTCCTTTTACTTTTTCTTTTAACTTTTGACCTGGATCCATTGAATTGAATGATCTATCTCTCTGTTTCTTGTGACTTTTTGGTGCTCCTCCTCCCCTGTTTCCTTGTTACTTTTGGACTCTCTCACTCTTATTTTAAAGCTGATTTGTTGTGAATTGTAATGAATAGGTATTGAAGGCGGTGGTTCATGGCGATGGGAACCTATTTAGCAAGCACCCTGAGCTTGAAGATGCATTAGTTTGGGTTTATTTCCACTCTAATCTCCCTCAATTCAACCGGGTGGAGTGTTGGGGCCGTCTCAAAGATGACGATCAGGTCTTTATCTCTCCTCTTAACTCTAATTTCATCTTAGTCTAAGCCACCTCACAAAAATAATTGTTTAAGAAAAAATAAAAAACCCACCCACCAACAGAAATGTTTTTTTAAAAATTAAACAATGCCGTAAAAGACGAGCTAACTCGTTGTGCTTCTAGAATGAAGATGCGTCCCTAACTAAACCACCCAACCGGTTTGAAAAGCAATTTTGTTTTGGCCTAATTGTTTAAATCCTTCACCCACAAATATGAGTCAGCTGGTTCGATCGAACCAAATTGATGATAATAAAATTAAAAAATTAAAATAAAATAGGGATCTATAGAGATTTAAGGGAACTTGGCTTAAAAGAAAAAGAGAAAAATACAAGAGGGGACTTTTACAGGGAATTGGTTTGGTCACCGCATATTCCCATCCAAATCAACAATCCGGATCAGAACTTGCTGGGTTTTAAACTCTGTTTTGGGTACATACTTTTTTCCACACATGGGTGGATTACTGCAAGCAAGATGCGCGAGATTTTTCATTAGTAAATTATCCCAGTGAAGAATTTAAGCACGTAGACCGCATCCTTTGTAAAGACCTCTTTTTTTTTTTGGGTAATTTTCAATGGGGAATACAAGCCGCTACCTCTTTTTTTTTTTTTTGTGGTAATTTTCAATGGGGAATACAAGCCGCTACCCGTTTTTTTAATAGATTAGGGAGTTACATTTTGAAAGTGTTAATTAAAAGTGTCAACGGTAGGAATGGATACCACGTGCTAATCGGGTGCGTAGATGCTACCATCACGACCCCAACCCCTTTGTAAAGAGTTTAATACATCGAACTACGTAAACTAATGATATTTCATTTCTTCCATAATCACAGTTCGTGTCTATTTAGATATTCATTGTGCCTAGCCTACCCACATGGGGTTCGGACTTCCTTTATCCAAGCCGAGTGTCAATCTGGTTCCTAATGGGATTGGTTCCTTTGGGACCACCCGTTCCCATTTGGAACTAGATGAATCCAGTGTTTTAAAAATCGACAAGTCGAACGGGACTCGCCCGCTTCAACTCGGGAACCGGCACAGCCCGTACCAGTTCCATCACAAAATCGAAAACCGCTCGGTTCTAGAGTAGAACCGCCGATTCCCATCCGGTTCAGCCGGTTCACGCACATGCTCTTGTACGTCCGTGCGCACTCACACGTGCGCACGTGCAAGGTTGCCCCCATATTTTTGCACATCGCCCGCTTCTAGAAAAGAATCGGCGATTCCGGCCGAATCACTGCATAGAATCGGATGGTGACATCATGTCTAGGCATGTATGACGTTTCCAAGGGTAATTGGGATATTTGTTTTAAAAATAAAGATAATTTTCGACATTGTTGGACGGCAGCACCACATTCACATGCAATCACGTGTTACCCCATGTACCGTTCGCCCGCATGCTGTTGAATGCTCATCCTCACATCTTTTATAAACTTGGAAGTCGCTTGATATTTCCGATGTGGGACAATTCCCACTTACCTTCAACAGCGTGCAAGCCATCGTCACACAAGCCATTACCTAATAAACGGCCATATAATTTTTCCAAGCCGTTAACTATTGCAAGCCATTGTCCATATTTGTAGCGTTTTAATTTAGCGTGTCAAATTAATAGCACTAATAAACGGCTATATAAAATTTTAAAAAAATTAATAGCACTCATTAATTTAGTGTGTCAAATTAAAAAATAGCCATATAAATTTTTTTGATGTTTACTAGTAAATAGTTTTTTCGATGAGTTTTATTGCAATATTTTATTTTTATTTTTATTTTTTTGTAGCTATTGTGCATATTGCCGATGGGATTTTTTTTTTTAATTTTGTCATCTTTATTTTTCATTTTTTTGGGTAAAGTTATTTTGAATTTTTTAATATAATTACATTAGAATTTATTGGTGGTTTCATTTTTAATTTTAGTCATATGATATGGAAGCCTCTTCTAATAATTTTTTAATCACTTTTCAATTAGATAATATTCTAAAATATTTTTAATTTGTTATTATTTGTTTAATAAAATAATTATAAAATATAAACTAATAATTATAATTTCAGTATATAATATTATAATTAGTTAGGTTGTAATAATTTTGGAGTATAGTTAGTTAGGCTGTAATAATTTGGGTTTTTTTAGCGAATTAGGGTTTTTCGCCAAAACGAGATTTTAATGGCCATTCTTTCATTGATTAGTCTACACTTTATAATAGTCCATGTATAATTATATATTTTATCCATGATAATTCTATGATTTTTTTTTTATGCGATGCAAATTTAATATTTAAGTTTATACAGGGAAAGAGCATCTCAATATATAAAAATTGATGAGAAAAACGAAAGTTAATAATGTAGTACCCTCATTTCTTATTGGATTCCTAAAAAAAAACATTTATAATGAATTTTAATCATTTTTTTGGATTTCTTTGAAGCTTTAATCAGACCGATTCAGCTGATTCTCGATCCGGATCGCCGATTCCCCGATCCGGATCGGTTTTGGAGGTACCCAATCCGGGTCACCATCCGCTTTTTAAACCATTGGATGAATCTATTAAGGAACTAGATAATCAAGACCACACAAAGCGCCTGGTTTCCCCACATTATATTATTATTTATTTTTTATTGGCTGATTCTCACATTAGAGAATTGATCCTAGTTGTCGATCCATATTGGCAATTCATTGATCCATACCAAATTGTCTTATGACCGGTTCGCTTGGCCAATCTAGTTTTCTAAACACTAATTTTACTCATTAATACAACTAAAATATCAACTATTTTTTAACTCATTATTATACTGCCTTTGAGGGTGAAATTAAATAAACAGAGATGGTTGACATGAGGGGGTCATATAAGTTAAGGCATGCGGGTGACATGTGGGGGTCATATAAGTTAAGGCATGTGGGTAACATTAGGGGGTCATATGTCCCTGGTCTATCTAACGTCCATCTCTAAGATGTATGTCAAAAAATAGAAATTATAACATCTTCATTTTCATTGTAAAGGGCTCTTTTTTCTTTTTTCTTTTTTCTTTTTCTCTCTCTCTCTTTTGCACTTTTAGCAGTTAATAGGTCGAAAATCTGTTCTTCCACGGCTCTTTCCAATACCAATTTGATAGAATTTTCAATGGTGATTCAAACTTCCACTCTTGACCACCTTTTAAACCCTATCCCCGTCTCCTGAGTAATCTAAATATTTTTAATGAAATTAATATAAAATTTTGCTATTCATTACAATATTTTTTATGGTGTACGTGATGATTCTTTTATTATTTAAAGGGTGTAGTTTGCATAATGTTGCAACTTTAAGCAATCCAATTAAGGTGTACCTTTATTTTTTATCATGAATATAATTTTGATATAAAAAATTTTTAGGGTGGTTTGAGAATGTATTTTCATCTATGATTATAAACTTTTAAACTCTAAAAATGGTTCAAACAATGTAGATCTAAACACACATGAAAATCTTGAAAATGGACGGTCCGGATAGTGTGTTGCAAGATACACTATTTTGTGGACTCAAAATTTTTTTTTTCTCTTCATATCCATACATCCCAATGTCGAGATGATCAATTAGAGGGTTTTCCAACATCCAAACAACATTTTATGATGGATTTTTTTGGTGCATCTTTGATTATACATTTTAAGGTTGCAACTTTATATAAACTTTTTTCTTATTTAAATAATTGAATTCTGAATAGAAGGCCGTATAATTGAAAACATTATGTATTTTTTGAGAGTTAGTATTAGATATAACCTTTTAAAAATGACAAAAACTTCTATACATTTCAAAAAGAGTATAGCGTATAAAATATTTTATCTATGTTTTCATCTTTTATCATTAGATTTTTTGTTGAAACCTGATATTTTCTTGCGGAAAAGCAAACATGTTTAATTACCCAAAAAAACGCAGCAAAATGTTTCTTACATGCACAATCAATCCAATCACTTTACTTTAACTTTAGGGTAAGCTTATTATGCTTCCTCTATAGCATAGAAGTTCTATTTTCTTCCTTATCTAACCGTCCATTCTGAATGGAGGGTTAAGATTGCCCCAATCACAATGTCACTTTTTTATACTATTTTATTTATTTTGAAACCAAATTTTGGACGTTCACTCATCTATTAAACTCGCACTAGTGAAAAATATAAAAAAATTCTTTTCAATAAAATAAAATGACTAAAATACCCCTAAAAGTTTCAATAGGTATTTTGGTCATTATATTTTATCAAAAAATTATTTTTAATATTTTTTGTAGGTGCGTCCCAATGAGAAAATGGCACGTACCAAATTTCATATTCATACAATTTGTATAAAATAAAATAAAAATAAAATACTTTGAGACATCAGATCAAAGATCAAACAGTGAGTAGTTCTTTTCATCAAAATTGGACGGCTGGATGGTAGGAGGATAGAACTTTTATGCTGGAGGAGAAGCATAGAAACCTTTCCCTTAACTTTATTGAGAAAAAGCAAACATGTTTCTCACACGCACAATCAATCCAACCTCGTTAACTTTCTCTTTATCACACACACCGTGGAAGCATTAGCACTTAAATGGGTCAACCCAAATTGGGTCCGAGTCCAGTGTGGACCCCTATGAGGTCGAGTTGGGTCCACGTCGGGGTTGACCTGACCCGATCCGGTTATGTAAAGTATATAAAATATGTACTAAATAATGTATAAAATAATTTATTTTTATTTTTTTAATTTCTAGACCTAAATCCAAGTCTAGGTGAAAGCTAGACGCGTAGGTTTAGGTCGAGGTCGATGTGGACCCGACCCGATCCGCTGTGACCCCTAACGGGAAGGTGCAAGGCAATTTTGGGTACATGGTGTACGCATGGCTACGCGTCCTTATAATTTGGGCTCCGTGTGTAAAGCAATGGTTTAAAAAACGGATTGGTGACCCGGATCGGGCTTCCAAAAAATCTATCCGGATCGGCGAATCGGCGATCCGGATCGGGAATCGGGTGAATCGATCAGGATAAAGCTTAAAAAAAATCCGAAAAAATTATTAAAATTCATTATAAATATTATTTTTTAGGAATTCAATAAGAAATGAGGGTACTCCATTAAGAATTTTCATGTTTTTGAATGAATATGCGAATATTGATATGTTCTTTCCCTGCATGAATCGCCATTCAGCATTTAATTTACATCACACAAAAGGATAAACATAGAATTATCATAGAATAAGTATATCAACATACATGGACTACAATAAAGCATAAAATTAGTAACATATGATCTAAAAATAAAATGATAGACCACGTTATTGTTCTTCTTGGTCACGCTGGTGCCATTGATTGAATTCGTTTAACAATTTATTGATTCGATCTAAAAACGAATCATCGATATTAGCAGGCGTCTGACTATTTCCAAATCCCTGAGTGTTAGTGTTTTGTTGTGCTCCCAATCTAAAATCCCCGAAGATTGTCCATCCTTCATGCTCACCTGCATTGTCGTACTCATCCCTACACTGTTGCTGTTGGGACTCGATATGTGAATAATATGGCTGGGATAGGGTGGCTT